GAACGATGAAATCATATGGATTATGTATTTTAATTGGTGCTAGGCAGACGACCTTGTTGGGGCAACGATTGGCGGAGCTAGCTTCGGGTGTTGGGGGTCAATATCGATTGTGGTTCGATACGTAGTGGCCAAGTGGATACTCGGAGACCACGCATTGGTGAACCAGAATGGCCTGACCCAGGGCTGACCCATGGGTCTGACCTTGCCACTCGGGTTTCGCGGTTTCGGCGTATGCGACCCAAAGTGTGAGGCTAATCGTGCCGGTGTCATCGAGCAACGTGATGTCGCGCTTGACCGTCTTGTTTGGGCCAACTTCCTGTGGGGGGCCGACCGTCGCGCAAACGGCGACGATCGTGAGGGGGTCGGATTGATGTTGCTGGTGGCGGGAAGGCACGGGGATGCTTGCAATGATTGCGACAGTGGTGTACACGTGTACACGTAGACCATGTGCGGGATTGTCGCTATGTCGTCGTCTTGGGCGACCGTTGTGCCGGCCATGAATATGTACTCGTGTTCTTGACCGTTTTGTTGGTATTCGACCTTGATCGGCTTTGTGAGGCCGTTGGTAAACGTGTATTCATTGTCGATGCGCAGACGCCCGAGGAGGAGGAGGCGCGACTGGAAAAGCAACGCGTTAGCCAAGCCGCTGCGCGAGCCGTGTCTGCGAACGTGGGCTCTACGAAACGAGCGGCACCGGGGCGTGGCACGAATGATGCCGTTGCTATTCCAGTCGCGCCGCCTCCTCCTCGGGCGTCTCGGTGGCCTTCTTGACGGCGCGGGCAGTGGCATGGCTAAGGTGTTGCTTTTCCAGCCGAGCTGCTTCCTCTTCGGGCGTCTCGGTGGCCTTCTGCTCAGCGCGCGCCTTGCCCTTGCGCTCCTTCGATGCTTGCATGTTGCTTATGTCTGAAGGTGGCGCCTGGCACCGAGTCCACAGTGTAACTATCGGGTACACGGCCCGGCTGGGGCATGAACGAGACTCAGCCGGTGGGTGACTCCGGCCTGGCCCATGATGGAAGCGTCGAGCTCCACTCGTTTCCACTTAAGACACGAAGGTCAACCACTAACGAAAGGCCACAGACGAACGTAGACTAGCACGATAGGACAGGTTCGTCAAAGATCAATCACGTCAACGGCACAGTTGTCGTCGAACGCGATCGTGAGCTCGCCGCCGCTGAACGCACTGGGCAAGACGAGGAGAAGCGAGCCAATGCTATAAGAACCATACTCGGCAAACGCGTCGCCAAAGCGGTCGACGGCCAATGGCATGAGCGCGTCGGTAGAGCCCTCGGAGTCGATGCACAGGTGCGTCGGGATGGCAAGAACGTGGGTGGTCGTGAGGACGAGGCCGCGTTCGACGGCTTGGAGGATCTGCGAGTCAAATTAGGCGTCCCACGTCACTTTGTTGAGGACGATCATGTGCTTGGCGGGCACGACAATGATGCCATCGACGGCGTAGCGCGCGGCGAGCTGCTGCATTTGGTCCAAAGTCGGCAGCCATTGACGCCGTCCACGGAGATCTCAGGCACGAGATGGCTTACCGCTGCGTCGGCGAAGACGTACCGTGTAGTTGGAGGCTGCGCGCAGCTGCCGCAACGCCACCTCGTGCGCGGCGAGGGCAAGGTGGATCGGTCCGTCGACCAGACGCATGTGCTCGTCGTCCAGTCGTGCGCAGATTGGTAGTTATTGGGCTAATGAATTGCCTTGGAGTCGCAGAATGCCGTTGGATTGGTTGAAAATCCATTGCATGGTTGTCCCGTGACGCTTGCCGGGGCCGTGGGAGGATTTGTGAACGAAAGTTGGAGGTTAAGAAAGTTTTTGGTGGTGCAAGATTAGAGCTTTGTTGAATGTTGAACACGAAATGGGGTTGCCCCAATGCTCGAGGTCCACCGAGTTATATATGCTCATGTTTCGCGTTATCTTCATAATTACACAAAGACTTCGCATACGTAAAGACTAGCAATCTCCTTCTTCGCCGAGTTGCCAACGAAATCGACTGACGCTACGACAGCTACGAGACCCCATGAAAGCAGCGCAGTCGCCAGGTGCGTGTAAATTCAATACTAAGCTTCGTATGTCGATGAGACGGCAATCGGGCGACGATGCGGAACGAAGGATGTTTGTGCTTGATACGTGTTTGTAGGAGCTGTTTGTATCAATATATCGAGCAATATATATGAGTATGTGTGTAAGAAAGAAATTAAATCGATACTGCAAGATGATAAACTGACGTGCGCAAGATACGTGCTGAATTTTACAGTCTTTCTGTGGCCAGAAGCGCGCAAGTATCAACATATATACGTGACACGACAGCCCAATTGGGTGTTTTTCGGGTCGGACGTACCATATGGTCGATATATCCTCATCTTGATCATTGGAGAGTGTTTAAAAATGCCGATACAACAATGTGTCCTTGGTCGCGTAGCAATGTATTATGCGTATAGCCCATCAAAAAAATAATATTACAAGCAATGACTATGGATTAAGAACTTGATACGAATTAGCGCATTGAGACGCCGCGGAAAGCACCCATCGCGATTGCCATGAGTATCCTCCAACTTGATACTCACAGTTGATGGTGGCACGTCATTGGTCGGAGGCGACAAAACAGGCGTACGGAATCAAGTAATCAAAGTATCAGGCAGAGCCATCTGGTCTTGTGCAAGGTGGGCTTGCAACGACATTCTTCGATTTGCTTTGACCAACTCACTTGCCATGAGCGCCACCCAGAACCAGAGCATGTACGCCGCTCCCGTCTCCTTCCCGTTTGATTTGCAGACGACGACGACGACGACGACCGAAGACGTCTGCTGGTCGCTCACCACCGACGCCCCGACGTCCATTGAAGAGAGCGTCATCGTCGGGGCCACGCATCTGCGCGACGTGTACGACATGCGCATGTCCGACCTTCACAGCACGCCCGTGACCATCCAACCAACGAAGGCCAATCGCCCCGCCCCATGTCCTCTCGCCGCACCTGCGTCCGTGCACTTGACCGTCGCCGTCGCCGCGTAGTTTGTGTCGTCTGGGTCTAGTATAACATTGCTATTTGTCGTCTTCAGTCGCAATGACAATTTTCACATCGTTTGAGCAAATGAGACAAACGCACATGAACGAGTTCGAGACAGCGTCCTCGTAGCATGAACGACTGCCAACGAGTAAGACACCCGTTCCCGTCTTTCTTTTATTCCTTATACCGGTACTCGGAGTATTTAGCAGCCAAGTGCGTCTATAGCAACGAAGTCACGACAGTAGCAGCACGCAGAGTCCTCCTATACTGTCGGCTTATATTAAAATCCTAAAATTCCACCGAGCACGCGGTGCCATTCTCCTTTCGGTCGTCTTCGGTGCGGGTGATGACAAAGCTGTCGTTGGAGCCGTCGCTCATGTTGAAGCTGCCGTCCGTCGACGTGCGCTGACGATGGAAGCTGGACGAGTCGCTCTCCGAATCGCTCCCGACGCCCTCGTTGAAGTTCTCCAAGTGGTTGAACTTTTGCGCGATCGTCTGGCGGTACGGCGCCGTGTCCGTCTCGACCGACGCGCGCGCCACAAAGTTGACGAGCGGGTTCGTCGCCACCTCGTAGCCACTCATGGCGCTCGTGCGCGGCAGACTCGTGTTGCTCGAACTGCTACGGGGCGAGATCGGCAGCGCAAAGACCGGTGCCGGCTCGGGCACGGCGTACATGGGCGGCGCCGGCTGCGTCGCCATGGTCGTCATCGGGATGGCCACTTGCGCGGGCGGCGTCGACTGCGCCTTGTTGGCGTAGTGTCCGACGTCATCGTCGTCGTCTTCGTCGTTGCGGCGCTTGCGAATGATGCAGCATGCGATACCGATGATGAGGAAGAGTCCGACAACACCGCCGCCGATGCCACCATAGAGAGCCCAGTTTGTGGACGATGACGGCGGCGAGGTCGCAGGTGCGGCCGTCGGCTCGGCTGTGGCCGAGCTCGCGTCGTCTGTCGGGGCCGGCGTGGTAGTTTGATCTGAAGGGCGCTGCGTCGGCTGTGGCGGCTGCGTAGGCTGGGTCGGCTGGGGCGATTGGGGGGACTCTGTCGTGGACACGGGCGCCGTCGTCGTCGTGTTTCCAGTACCAGAGCCCGAGCCAGAGCCCGACGAGGTCGACGACCAGGTGCCACACTTGGTCGACGACGAGCAGAGGCCAAAGAAGTTGGTGTCCTTGCAGGAGACAGTGCCCGAGTCCGAGACGCTCATGCAGGCGCCGCAGGACGTTGACGTCGATCGGTCGCATGTGTCGCCGGATGCAGTCACGCACGTCTTGTTCTTGCACACGGCCGGCGTTGTCTTGGCATCACCTAGGGAGGTGCTGCATTAGACGTAGGTGGCACATGCGGATGGGCGTACTGGCAGCGAGAAGGAGCAGCGCTGTCGCTAGCTGCAGAAGGAGCTTCATGAGGAGCGGAGTACTTTCTTCGGCGACCTGGGCACGCTGTAGAGAGTTGGCGAGTTTGCAACAGCGTGCTCGTCGAGGAAGTCACCACCTGGTGAGCGTTGGGCGACCACCATGTAGTGATCTTTAAACAGGATCGGCATAGATTTGACTTGGTTGAAATAAGCAACAACCCGTCTCATGTATTATACTTGGTGTTTGTATGTTGGCTTTGGTAATAAAATGCATTTTCGTGTCTGAGATCGTTCGCGGCTTCGTAAGCCCGCAGCTGTATTTTTTCTCGAATTTCAAATCCAATAGACACGCCAAGTTCTTTTCGATCGAATGGTTTAAAATACTTTAACCGAGACGTTGAACTCGCTTCTCGAAGGTGTCTCAAACAGCCTGTCAAACCGTGTGTGCATTGCGAACCTGCGCAACGACGAGTGGACCAAACGACCGAGACGAGTCTACCGATACACTGAGCCTTGCTGCATCGCAGTCGGAAGCGCGGCTCGTAGCTCTCGAATTTGGTCGCACGTGCAGCCAGTCTCTTGACACTGCTGTTGCGAGAATAGTGCATGATTATGAAGACGTGCACGGTGCTAGCAACTGCAACGTTGGTAGATCCGACACCGATTTACAGCAGCTTGCTACGACGATCAGCAAGCTTCTTCTCGCTGCGAGAATTACTGTAGACATTTGAGCCCAAACGAGCACGAGCAATGGAGTGAGAGCGATTTCAAGTTCGAAGCCACACGTCTCGACATGTCTTTGGTCGTCGTCGCTTGGAGTTTGTCAAAACAAACTCTGTCCACTCCGTCCAACAATCGAGTCGAACCGTACGTTTGGGACGCTTCTGGTAAATAGTTTAACCGTGGTGTGGGTTTATCGAATTGCCTTCGCGCCAAATAAGTGATTTGTCGACACAAAAATTGCTTGCGGCTACTACCAAGCTACCAAGCCAGCGATCACTTCGCTACCGTGCTCAGCGATCATAGTCGAGCTCTAAGGTTGGCTTCACGCGTGTGGAGTGAAGGCGATGCAGAGATGTGAGGTTGGAGAGTTGGTCACGTGGGTGTTGCTGTCCGTAATCGTGTTTCGTACCGTGACGCCCAAGTCCAAAGTAGAATCGATACAAGAAGACCGTGACGCCTTCGTTGGAGACTTGGCTTGCGTGCGCACACATCGTCCTTGGCCCATGAATTCATATATATCAGCGGGTACAGTGTACGCAGGCTATTGCCGCGCTTGGTATATTCACAGTGGAGATAGAGCCCAACACCAAGAGCGCTGGACCGTCGAAGCGAGCGACAGGCGTTGGCTGAAGTTTGGGCGAATCCGACAAAACAACTGCAGCGGAAACGATTTATCACTGGATTTAAATCCTCCTTGAGAACACGGTCCGGAAGTCTCTCTGCCATGCGACGACGCACCGCTCGAGAGCTCTTGGTTCGTTGCGGATGGTTGGGGCACGGTGCTTTTATCCTTTTTTGCGCGAGGAATCGACAATTCATAGTGGAATGTTGCATAAATCCTACAAGCGATTAAACTTAGTTACTGACGATCGCTTGGTAGAGCTGCTGGCGCTGGCGAAAGAGAGCTTCGTCCAGGGTTGCGAGTGGCTTGACGCACGCCATGAGGCAGTTGAGAACCACGAGGCCAACGCAGGCGAGCGGGAGGAACCCGATGCCGCAGCTGACGCCGACAATGATGACGACGAAGAGACCGATCGAGAAGGACATGCTCACGAGGCTCAGGAGCACGAGCAAAAGCATGTTGCCGAGCTTGGTGCAGTAGCGCGCAAAGGTGCCTTGGCGGCGGCGACGGTTGTCGGGCACCTCGACCATCAACGGCGCTTGCACCGACGACGGCAGGTCGTCGTACACCGGGGCATACATGGGCGCGCTCGGTGCGTAAAAGTACGTTGGCTGCTGCGTTTGGACGACGACGCCCGTCGTGGAAAAGAACTCGCTCGTGAAAAACTTGGTCGTGCCCCGGAGGATCGCGCCAAAGCCGTGGAGGCAGAGCACGCTAAAGTAGAGAAACCCGACGCCGAAGAGCGCGATCTGCACCTTGTGCGCCTCGTCCACCGGAATGCCAGCGACGCTCGCGTGCAGCGTGTGGACGCGGTGGTGACGCGTGTACGTCAACGTCATTGGCTGGTTGTTGGCATACGAGTCGTCCCAGTAGAGCGGAAAGGCCATGCACGCGATCGACGTCGCTAGCAAAATCAGCGGCGTCAAGCTAAACATGAGCGCGAGCGGGAGCTTGATGGCGACAAAGTAAAAGACGGCGAGGATCGACTCGGCCGAGAGCGTCGAGAGCGACGGCGAGAGGCGGTACCCGCTGCGGTGGTAGAGTCCGCGGCGCGGCACCTGAAAGTTGACTGTGATCTGGTCTTTTGTTGGCGCCACGCAGTTGTAGAGGTACACGTCGCACTCGGCAAAGACGCGGACGAGATGCAAAAGGAACTGCAGCACGAGCAAGCCGAGGCAGCAGAGCGGAATGAGGCCGACGCCGAGCGACCCGACCGAAATGACGAGCACAAAGGCCAGCAGCGCCAAGACAAAGTTGAACAGGTGGAAGAAGACGAGCTGGAACGTCAAGAGGCGCAGTGGACTGGTGAGCGCATACCAAAAGACATTGTCATTGTCCTCGTGGTCGCACGGCGGCGGTGGCACGGCATAGTACTGCGGCGGCGCAGCTTGGTACCCGCCATACATGGGCACGGTGGCCGGCGTCGGTGCGGGTGCGGCCACCGGCACCGCCATCACGGGCGTCTTCTCGGTTGGTGAGAGTGCAGGATACATTGTTCGAGGAGGTCGACAAAATAAGAATGAGTCGAAGGGCAATCTGGCAGTGGTCACCTGCACTCGGCTCGGAATGTGGGTTTGGGAATGTCGGTACCAGAGTGTAGGTGGATCTGATAATCTTATTTCACGGAATCGTCTCAATTGCAGAAAATGTCAAACTGAATAGACAGCATTCGAGACAGTATAGATAAATTCTGTATGTTTGGGACGAATCATGGTCTGAGGGCATCACACACTTGGTGTGTGAAATGGTGATGATCAGGAGGCCAACTGTGGCCAGATAGCCTTCCCGCTCCTCGCCACTCATTATGCCCCGGTCGCCGGGGCTACTGCAATACACTTGCACGCAGTCGCATTTGCAGTGGTAGCGAACGAACTGAAGGCTCAACGAACGTCAAGCCTTAGACGAACTGAAGGCTCAACGAACGACAAGCCTTTAGACTATTGATTCAACTACAAAGAGACTTTGCGCTGATTACACGTAGCAACTGGGAAGCACCCGCTGTCGCGTTGTATTGTGCATGACATACACGCGTTGTCCTCACAAGCCGATGGGTTCTGAGGCGGCCTCGGCAAGGCCTTGGGTCTTGAGCCATTCGGCATTATAGAGCTTGCTTCGGTAGCGGTCGCCGCCGTCGCAGAGCACCGTCGCCACGGTGTGACCAGGGCCAAGCTTCCGCGCCAGCTTGACGGCGCCGACCACGTTGAGCGCAGCGCTCGGACCCACAAAAATACCTAATGCACCCTATCAAACGCTGGTCGCACGACGAACTAGAAAGCACCGTCGTGGCGAAGGAGGTGGTAGGCCATTCGCACAATCTCAAAGTTGGTCACGATGATACCGTGGTCCATGACGCCTTGCTTAAAGTTGGGAGTCGCGCGCGGCAGGCCAATGCCCTCTGCAATCTAGTCAGCAGTTTTATCTGATGCTGAGGAGCGAGATAGATACCGTGTCGCCGCTCGTCTTGGGGAGCATCTCCCAGCCGTTGGGCTGAAGCGTGCTGTTGGTGCGCTTCGAGTTGATGTAGCCCGCGGTCGCACCGCCCTCGGGGTCGACGACCCACACTTCGATGGCCGGATTCTTCTCCTTGAGAAACTTGGAGATGCCGCCAATGGTGCCGCCCGTACCTACGACGCTTGTGAATGCAACCATAAAATGCTGTCTCTGGCGCACCAGACGCGGCCACAAACCCATCGAGTCGACCTGTCGTCTGCCGCCAGATCTCGGGCCCCGTCGTCTCGTAGTGTGCCTGGAAGTTGGCGATGTTTTCAAACTGGTCCGGTCCGAAATGCGTCGTCGGGTTGGCTGCAATGATGCGCTTGGCAAGGTGGTAAAAGTGGTTGGGATCCGAGAGCGGGACGCCCGGCTGGACGTGCGTCGTAGCGCCAAACGCTTGCATGAGCGCGATCTTCTCCGTCGACGTAACCGCGGGCATCGTGAAGACAGCCTTGTAGCCCTTGGCCGCTGCGACGAGCGCGAGACCAAGTCCCGTGTTGCCGCCCGTGGCTTCTACGACGGTGCCGCCCGGCGGAAGGTCACCCGACTTCTCCGCCGACTCGATCAAGTACTTGGCCGCGCGGTCCTTGACGCTGCCACTCGGGTTGAGGAACCTACGACCATCTACTATCAGACACTGTTCGAAATCGATACGCGTCGTACTCGGCCTTGGCGAGAATGCGGCAGCCCGTGAGCTTGGAGAGCGACGGGATCTCGAGCAGCGGGGTATTGCCGATCGCGCCGAGGATGGTCACGACCTCGTCGGACGTCGATGCCGGCGTCGAGCGCAGCTGTTGGGTGCGCTCAGACCAAACGCCGATGGCGGCTCCCGTCGCCAGAAGCGCGAGGCCGCCGGCAGCGCGTTGCAAGCCAGCAGCGGTCATGGTGCAAACTCGAAAAAAAGTGCAACCTCGCAGTCGTAACGAGCGACCCAATCACGGCATTTCTCACATTCCTCACTGATACCACAATTTACACGCATAAAGAAATTGAGTTAAATGCAATGAAAATCAGAGCTAAAAAACCACGGTGAGATATGCAGGCGCCCCACGAGGTATGATGCTTGCAGATGCTTGCAAGGCTCCGACCAAGACTGCGCTCGAGCCGCATGAGACAGTCGATGCTCCAGCTCATGGTCGTCTCGAGGCTCTGGAGACTCAAGGGACGTGTAATATTCAAGTGGTGTCAAAACTGGCAGCTCTAGGGACGCTCACTTTACCGACGCAAGAGCAAGACGAGGAGCGCGTGCAAAATGAGAAGCGTGACGCATGCAATGCCACTCACAATCGCAAGCTTGTACTCTACCAGCAGCATGAGTTAGTTGCCGAGATCACACGCAAAGTACCCAGGAGCTCGGACGAAACAGCGAGCGGCGCCATGGACCAGCGCACCGCCATCTCGGGGACGATGGCCACGTGGAGAGACGTGAGCGAGAGGCCGCAGAGCCCGAGGCCGTGGAGGAACAAGCCGTGCACAAGCGACGTCCGGAGGCAAAACCAGACGCCGCCGAGCGCCGAG